TGTAATGTAATGCGATGTAGTGTAATGTAATGTTATGTAATGTAATGTAATGTAATGTAATGTAATGTAATGTAATGTACTGTACTGTACTGTACTGTAATGTAGTGTAATGTAGTGTATGTAATGTTCTGTAACGTAACGTAACGCAAGGTAATGTAATGTAATGTAATGTAATGTAATGTAATGCAATGTAATGTAATGTAATGTAATGTAATGTAATGTAATGTAATGTAATGGAATGCAATGTAATGTAATGTATTGTAATGTAATGTAATGTAATGCAATGTAATGCAATGTAATGTAATGTACTGTAATGTAATGTAATGTAATGTAATGTAATGTAATGTAATGTAATGTAATGTAATGTAATGTAAGGTATGTAATGTATGCTTGCATGCATGCATGCATGCATGCATGCATGGATGGATGTATGTATGTATGTATGGATGGATGGATGGATGGATGGATGGATGGATGGATGTCTGTATGTCTGTATGTCTGTATGTATGTCTGTATGTCTGTATGTCTGTATGTCTGTCTGGATGTCTGTCTGCCTGCCTGCCTGTCTGTCTGTATGTATGTATGTACGTATGTATGTATGTATGTATGTATGTATATATATATATACATATACTTGTACATATGTGGAGGTATTTGTATACATACATATATATATATATATATACACATGGGTGCATGACTGGTAGGATGGATGTTGTTAATCGCATCCACCCAGGTCCCTGTATTCCACATCCCAGCAGGCCGCTTGGCTCGACGGTTGGGCCGCCAGTCACGGAGCCTGCGCTGCTGCAACGCTGGGAGCCTCCCCAGGCTTCGCTTTGAGTTTGAGGGGATTGAGTGTTCCATAACGGGGTGTTGGGTCTAACGGTTAGGCCCTGGTTTAGGCAATTAGGGTTCTGTGAGGGGTGCCGGGTTTAGGGTTTAGGCCCTAGTTAGTTTGGGAATTTAGGGTTCTACGAGGGGTTTGGGGGCCTGTGAGGTAGGGTCCGGGATTTATGCATTGGACGTTCTGGGATTTGGGGGTCCTATGGCTCAGGCATTGGGCTGCGGGGTTTACTCAAGAATTAGGCTTCTGCTGCTAGGGTTCGAATTTGGAGGGCTTTGTTTCAAGTCTTTACAGAATCGTATGACGCGAAGTAGCATGGGGCTGTTGAGTAAGTTTCCTGCTTTGGGGCACTGGGTGTCATGTCCCGCAACAACAAGTTTCTGTTGAGGACCATGATTATGTAAACCCAGCTGTTGTTTCGAAATTCCGGTTGAACCCTTGGGGATATGGTTACATCGGGCCTCCGTGGTGAGATGTACGAACTTTCATTGGGTATGCAGGGAAGTGTGTCGTCTGATGCTCAGGTGCGAAGCTTCCCAAGCTTCGAACATTATAAACCCTAAACCCTATAAACCCTAACCCTTAAACACTAAAGCCTTGAATGGATGTTCTGTTTACCTGAGAAAACCCTGAAGTCCTTCAACCAACACGCCCTGTGGAGGGTGACCTGAGCTTTGAATCCCCCTCGGTTGCATGCATTCTCGCTTTGTTCTTTCGATTAGAAGACCATACCTACAGTCTCCATTGTAGTTCTTTTTTTGGCTAACCAGTTTTATGGTAAGGGTCCTATCATAACAATTGGGTTAACCAAAAAGGAACTGCAATGGAGACTATGATATAAATCTGGTTATCCCAAAAAAAAGAACTACAGTGCAAACTATAGGTAAGCCCTAAACCCTAACCCCCTTCAAAGCCCTATAGAAGCCCGTATAGATCCTTTAAGGAACCCTTGAAGAGGTTTCTATAGGTATACGCATTGGAGAGGTATGGCCTCAAGTCTGGCGACTGAATCTGAATCGTCGGCAACCCCGAATAATGTAGGGGCCTTAATAATTAGAATAGGGTTTGGGTATGATATACTATAGGATCTACAGGTATCATGAGGAACATCCGGAGGGTTCCGAAAGGCCTGAAGGGTTCGCACGGTGAATTAAGGGCTTCTTGCAGAGAAAATGCGATTTCTGACACCCTAAACCCCAAACCCTAAACCCTAAACCCCTAAACCCTAAACCCTAAACCCGAAAGCCCTAAACCCTAAACCCCTAAACCCTAAACCCTGAACCCCTAAACCCTAAACCGAGTCCACGTCGGCCAGGAGCTCTCTACGATCGTCTGCGTCAGGAGCTGAACTCTGGGACCCTACGGGTCCATGTGCTCATATTGTATATACCAGAGGGTCCATGCTTAGGGTTTAGGGTTTAGGGTTTAGGGTTTAAGCTTTAGGGTTTAGGGTTTAAGGTTTAGGGTCCATGTGCCCAAATAGTAGATGCTTTGGCCTTAAAGTAGTCCCTATGTAGGTACTTTGGGGCCGAAGTATCTACTATTTAGGTACTTGGACCCTTAGGGATACATTGGCCTTAGTGTAGTCCCTATATAGGTACTTTAGGGCCCATGGTATATACTAAACCCTAAGCCCTAATCCCTAAACCCTAAACCCTAAACCCTAAACCCTAAACTATATGAGCACATGGACCCTTATAAGGGGGAAGTCAGCTTTCAGGGCTTTCGACTAAGATCGCGGCCTTTCCGCAGTCGTTCTCCTAAGGTTTAGGGTTCAGGGTTTAGGGCTCAGGGTTTGGGGTTTAGGGTTTCAGGAAGCGTCAGGCTGAGGTGTCAAGCATTTCACTTGGACCCTCAGGGTCCAAGCACCTGAGCATCGTACACTCCACCAAGTAC